TGGAGAACGGTCGGTTATTTATTGGGTTTCTTCGGTCAATAATTGGTGATTTTAGTATTTCAAGATTCAAATAATAAAATTAATATAATTTTGTTAATTTTTATTATAAATAGTTATTAATTATTATTAATTAAGTATTTAACTGTAATAAAATCCATTACAAATTGTTTTTAGTAGGTTAATAGATTTTTTATAGCTTAGTACAGAAAAAGAAAACCTTAATCGGTCAATATAATTGGTGCATTTACCCTATTTAAATAGAGGAAAAGTAAATTTCCGATAGAAAAAAAAGGACGTATGTCCCTTGTGAAAGAAACTTTCAAAAACTAAATTACAAAATAAAGTTTTTTTCAATAGATAAACACATGAATCAATGATTATATTTTCAAAGTAAGTTTTACTCTACAAATATCATTCTACACTCTTGCAAATCAAGACAAAATTTTATATGTTTGTCAGTAATCTTAAATTTCTAAGATTTAAGCTCAATAGTTGAAGGCTGCGACCTCAGTTATAGAAAATGTAATGATATATTTAAAGTACCATTAAAAGGCAATTGTCTGTGAAAATCGTTGAAGCTTGCTCCTACGAACAATGCACACAGGTAGATACAGTGCGATATTGAATTTCAAGTGAAATTGCTTCTTATTTTCTTGTGTAGCTCAGAAGTACATGCACATGCGGGTATATAGTATATAGACATAGATGTATACAATATAAATACATCTAATGATCTAGAGTCGTATTGACTTACCGGAATCTCCAAAAGATTGCCAGAGATAAAAGTAACGCCGCAAGAGATGTAGTTAATCCGACGAATTCAAGAGTTCGAGTTTTTTCGGCGATATCCAATTTTATCTAAGGAAAAACAACAAAAGGAAACAAAAAATAAGTGGAATAGGAAAGTCCATGCGCTTTTGTAAAAAAAACTTCAAAGGGTGTGTTAAGCTCAATGCAATGCAGGGATATTTCAACCTCCGGAGAATATAATGGAAAAGGGGATAAAAATTGTGACACACAAAGTCATAAATTTCAAATAATAAAATAATACCGTAGTTTTTTTTTCTCTTTGTTATTAGCTTATAACAAACAAGGAAAAGTTTATGTTAACAATGATAAGTAGGACATTATTAAGTAAACAGAGAACAATGTAAAATTTTCATAAGATCCGCCCAGGGATGAATCTAATTATTGATTCTGATTCTTTATTAGCGTATGTAAAGTTTCAATGACATAAAATAACTTCTATGCTTTTTTACAAACGGTGTACGTGGGAGTTTATAAAAAATGGGTTACTTTTTTATACTTTACCGTTTAAATTATTGTATGAATATATTATATCCACCGCTTTATGATTTTATGTATTTAGGTTGTGTAAGCAATATGTCGCATATCATTTATTGTTGCTTTTATTGATTAAATTAGTGAAGTAATTCTTACCAAGTTATTTTTTTTGTATTTTAATTAAACGCAGTTGATAATAATTTATTTGTTTTTACCTTAGCTGCATGCTCGTCACCAGTGTACAGTTTACGAATTAATAGTAACATTTCTGGAGTAAAACATGGTGTGTAATTTGTCCATCCATTTGATGAACGTTCTTCGTTTCTTCCCAACCATTTTCCGTCATCACTGCACCGTCTTTCTGCAAATTCTAGTTAAAAGTAAATATGAGCAATTACTTGGTATATAATTAATTTATTTTTATCTGTATAAATAGTAAATAAATAGTAGAGAAATTTAATCAATAGAATATTTTTCTTTGATCATTTTTTTTATGCGGGTAGCTTTATAAAGCTCATTTGTTATTTATTATAAGATTATTTTTTGCACAACTTGTGTTCTATAATATTATTGTAAAGTTATTTTGACTACAAGAGATTGTTTAAACAAAAATATTTTTTTCTTTCTGACGGAATTGTTGCACTTTGCTCTTTGGAAAGTTATATAATAATAAATACAAAAGAAAAGTTTCGCTATTCAATGCTTTTGAATGTTGGAAGTTGGTTGTAATTTTTTATTGAAAGAAGTTTACTTTTAAATTGTGAGTATATTAAGTTTAGATTTATAAATATAAATATGATTATTATATTACAAAAAATAACAGGGTGATGTATTCAGCTTTCTGACCCCTATTAGTATCCAACCCACCTGTTATTTTTTTTTAAAAAGTGATGGTAATGTTTAATAATTAATGAATAAATAAATTGTAAGTTATTTTTAAGTAGTAGGAATTATTTTTTAATTTGTTATTCGATATTTATCTCAATGTCAATTATTTATAAAATTACTATCCAACAAATTTTAATCGTGAAAATTTATTATATAACAAATAATAATATTAGTCTTTTTTAAATTAATTTAAATTAAAGATAATAAATCTTGACTGATATCAATTCAGTAAATTTTGATATACCTTTGATATTTTTTAAATAATCCAGAGTTAACAGCAATAATTATGAGAAATATAAAAATAAGCTTATACTGCTTAATAAAAAGTATATATCATTTAAAAAGAGGTATTTGATAAATTAATTCTCAGGCAAATGCAAAAAATACAAACGCTTCAAACTGCAACGAGAGTTACTGGTAAATATCAACATTATAAAATGTCATTTTTTTTCGTAATTATAAAGGTCAAGACTAATAATAGTTATGGCAGTTTATGTGACTAACATAAAAAATATGATATTTTATAAATAATTAGAGTTATAGAAAATAAATTTCACTCATAAAAAGTAATCTTAAATTCAGAAAATTATTTTTTAAAAAATATAAGTGACTTTGCTTCAAAATTTATTCTTCACAATTTTATATTTTTATTTGATGCTATTTTTTTTATTAGAAATTTGATAAAATGTTAGTTTCATAAAAAAAAAAAAAAATTATACGTAATCAGTACACAGAAAAAAAATGTTGTTGAATTAAGAATATAATTTTGAAGAACTTACTCTTCTTAATTTAAGTAGAAAAATTCTTGAACTAATGAATTTTACTTGATTCAAAAATTTTTTATCTTGATTCATGACAATTACCCTCTTCAAAATTATTTTCTTGGTTCAAGAATTTTTCTCTGGAATGAAATTAATTTTTTTTTTAGTATAGAACTTTATTTAAAGTAAATATATGTTACTTGTCATGTAACACCTGCATTGAAACTGTGAATTTACTATCAGTTTTATAAATAAAAACAAAAAAATTTTGATGTTCAATTGACAGATGAATCTAAACATCTGTTATTGATCTTAAATTGTTTCATTTCAACAAGTTCTAGACAGCTTTGAATTCAAAACTTCAATTCATAACTGGTAATATGAAAAATATGTGACAGAATAAAACATGACAGAAATTTATGCGAGTAGTCATAGTCAAATTTACTTTCATCTTATGCCACCCACTTCACCCTTATCGTATCGTTATAACCGATCGAAAATGTGTGCTTATAATTACGATGTTAACATCGTTATTTTTGCTCTTGAGTATTTCAACGATTAATTCTATTGAGAAAATCTATATTAGTTCCGTGTCATCAGAAAAATTAACAAAAAACATTAAGAATAATCCAACTTTTGAAATCGACTCGTCCAATGGTTACCGAGAAGGCCGCGGAAAGTTTGTAGGGTAGATGCAAGGTCAATCGATTTTTCGATTTTCGGCGATTAGTTGACTTGCATCTCTCGGAATAAATTATTGTTACTTTATAACTTTTTGAACATTGTATTGTTTTTAACTAACTTCATCCATCAGCTTCTTAATTAATTACTAATTAAAAAAAAAATCTTGAAAAACTATTCGAATCATTAATAATTGTCAAAACTTTTCTGTTGTTTACGACTGAGAACTAATTTCTTAAAAACTGGAACTAATATAAAAAGTTCTTATGAAAGAAAATCATATCTAATAAAAAAACAAGTTTTAATCTTATAAAATTTCTTTAGTTTAGATATAATTATAGTGATAAATAATTATAATGTTAAATAAAAAATTTACTATATTTAACCAATATAAAAAATAGAATTATAAATTTTTTTTTTTAAGTGACGTAATTACTTTAACCAAAAAGTATTTCACTAAATTAGATATCTACGTTATCAATGTACTCAATCATTTTATTTTTCAAGATCTCAATCTTAGAAGTGTTCATTAATCCCGCTGGCGGTTTTTCTTACACTGAAAAAAAGTACTAGATTCAAGAAAGATATTATTGATCATAGAAAATTATTTAAAGATAACCGGTTTCTTTGATACAACAATTTCTTGTCTTGAAACTTGTTTTTTTAGTGAAGAGTAATTCTAAAACTTCGATCAAGAGTATCTTCGTGAGATACTGTAGAATTTATGATGGAAAAAATTCAATTTTCTTTAGTAAAGAATAACTCATAAAAAAAAAAAAATTTTTTATCTTCATTTAAATTTGACCCCATGCACGGAAAAAATTGTTGCTACTTGCGTTCTTGTCAATATTTTCACTCGAGTCGTACATGAGAGTAATTCTTAACACTTTCGTTGAATAACTCAATCGTTTTTTAATTTTTTTTTAATTGTTTAATTATAAAAAAAAATGCGAGAAAGTCAAATTTCGAAAAATTTGACTTTTTTTTACGAAAAAGTTCATTTTTTAAGATAAATGAAAATGACCTCCGGGTTCTACTCCGGGTATCGTATACTTTGAAAAAAAAAGTAGTGTCATGTCGAGCTTTTCAAAAAGTATATTGATTTGTGCAATTAAAATCGTAAATTTTCATGAATCTCAAAAAATCTTCAAACAATAATAGATGATACCCCAGATACCATCTTGAATGATATCTTCAAAGCAAGAGCAACTCAAAAATTGCTTGGGTCATCATGCATGGAGAAATATATATGTCAAAAATATATGTCGCATATATAATATATATGCCGAATATATTTACGCAAAAAAAAAAAATATGTCAACATATATTTTTTACATAGATGCAGAGATATATGCTAAAATATATGTAGACATATATGTAAGCATACACTGAAAAAAAAATTTCTCAGTTTGAGAATTTTTTTACTCAAATCAAGAAAGTTAAATTCTTCAAAATTATTTACTTGATTCAAGTTAAATTTTTTTCTGTGCATTTATATGCGCGCATATATGTGAACATATATGCGGACATATATGTAGCGCAAAAAAAATATATGTGAAAATATATATTTGCATATATTTTTCGCATATATATTTTTCCATACGGGTATGCTTGGGTCATTTAGACCCATAATAACCTCAACGGGTTAAAAATAGTAAAGTGCTTCGTTTAAAACTGAAATTTCTAATTTTAATCTTAAAATTGACAATATTCTTCGTTGCGGTTAACCTTTTTAAACGCCTTAGAATATTATCTTCAATAAATAATCCCCGAAAATAATGTAATAAGAATAGAAATCGAACAAATATGTTGGTATTCATCGACAATTTGAACTTGATGTACATTTCGGAGGATGGAAATGAACATCGTGCACTATCGAGCAATCGAACAGAAGCTGCTTGAGGTAAAATGGGTCGAGTAGAGAATGCTCGTAATGCAGATTCATGAATGTGAATGTCAATGGCTACATAATAAACGACTTTAAACTTTTTATCGTAGTGAATTAAAAAAAAAATTTACAAAGTATATACACGCAAGAAATAAATCGAACGGAAAAATATGAATTTTTATTCTATATTATATATTCAGCCGAGTCAGCGACTTTGCGTTTAAAAATTTAGTTAATTCTTAGTTAGCATTATTATTTAAATTACCGTAAAAAAGTCAATTACTTGTTCTTGTCGCCACCGCCTTTTTTTCATTTTACTCCATTCAAACCGATAACGATTAATTTCAAGTGTCACTCAAGACAATTTTTTTTTTTTTTTTTTTTTTTTTTTTTTTTTTTCAGTTACTTTGTATTAAATCCTTGAGCTTGGTGTCGATGCACCTATACAATTACTGTAATGAACACAAAAAAGTGAATTTTTTCCACGACCTAACTCTCCATATAAATTTTTCGATTAATTCATAAAGTTGGCGCTGCATGTGCTGCAGAAAATCATAAAGTCAAACGACAAGACACTAAAGATTTTCTTTCTTACAAAGAAGAAAACTAAAAAGTATATGAATAATGACAAAAACAAAAGGCAGCCACTTGTCGAGCACAAATCATATGACAACGTGGTTCTTCATGTTACTATATTATCATCATCTTTCTTGTTTTAGATTTTGCTTGAGGAAAAATTGCGTGAAAAAATGCTCAACATGAAAGACAAAAGATTGAAGAAAAGAACGGAAATAAAAATAAAAAATATGAAAAGAAATGTATAACAAAACGAAATACAAAAGTATAAAACACTGTAAAGTATGCCGGAGTATTAAATTTTCTCTGATAAGTTTTATAATAGTTTACAAAGTTGAATATGTATATTGTGTGATAAGAGCGCAGTTACAGTTCGGAGAAAATGCTTAATATTCCTCCGACTGCGGATTCTTTTTCAATTTATACGGAATGTTCTATTAATGTGACCTTGACTGCTCTGCCGGATGCTTGTTCTTGTTATGTACATCAAGGGGATGATCAAAAACCAAGTCATTCTAGTTCGATTCAATCTCAACACACAAGTGGTATTAAAGAGCTTTCAAAGTTGAGGACTTTCGGTAAATGCTCTCCTCTCTCGCATCACTCATTTTATTGTCTGATGACGTCGGTATGTCTGTGGGTCATGATAGTTATGTGTATGGAGCTTGTGTAATGCTGAATTTGTTTGTTTGGTTGGCTGGTTGTTTAACTTTACTTATTTCAATGCCAAGGCACAGCATAACTGGCAATTCACATATTATATTTTTTGCAATTTATTTATTATAAAAAATTAATTAATTTTTTTGCAATTTTTTTCATCTTAAATTTTGACAGTCAGAATTATTGAAGTTATTTTTAAACGTACTTTACTTTTCTATTTATAATATATGCGAAAAACCCTTCCGAAAATTACCGCCAAATATTTCTTAAATTGATATTAGCAACCTTGCAGTTACTATGTGACTTTATTAAATAATTACTTTTGTTAAATTGCGCTGTACTTTTTTAACTATTGACATTTTTAAAGATATAAGCTCATCCTGATGATACACTCATCAAGAGCTTTCATTTGAGTACCCACATGCATTTTGATATATTTTTCATATATACATATATATATATAAATTTATGAAATATATGAAAAATTGATGTGGGTACTCAAATGAAAGGTCTTGATGACAGTAACATCGGGATGAGCTTATATCTTTAAAAATGTCAATAATTAATAAATTATATGGTATTTTGTCAACTTATGATATTTTTAAAGATATAAGCTCATCCCGATGTTACACTCATC